GCTGTCCCTCAGGGCATCCAGCACCACCTAGGAACTTTCTAATTGGATGGGAAATGAAAATAACTGAAAGCTGTTCAGAAGAGTTTGGAGTATGTTGCTTCTGATGGTCTAGGATCAGGAAGAAGAGTTGAATTTTGGGACCTTTTTTTTGCCCCATCTCACTCAGAAATGGGTGCCTTAGCTTATATGGTCCCTAATCGCCACTCAGGTTTTGGATTTGAAAGGGGATCGGCTTTACCTTTTGCTCTGAACTGTCCAGTCCCCCTTGGATTTTAGGGTCTTTCACAATCCTCCATTCCCATTAGAAAGTGTGTGGAAGCAGCCTTGGTGTTTGGCATGTTGCAGCTTCTTTAGCAAAGTTTGACAATCTGTTAAGAACAGGATTTCGTCACTCCTGTAGGTTTATTTATTTTATTTAATTTATCCCCCGCCCTCCCTGCAAGCGGGCTCAGGGCGGCTTACGTAATTGGTCTATAAATGACCATTCATTCACATAAAAAGAGTTTAAAATGCAGTCACAATAAAACAAGTGTGCAGGGCTTCACTGCCTTTTGTCGCATTTCTTACTGGCAGGATGAGACCTGTCAAACAAGAGTCCCCTTGGTTCTAGCAGCACCATTTGCAGTATTCTGTCTGTGTCCTCTATTTCTTTCACTGTATCTTGTGTTGCATAAATTAATCTTGGATGGATGGTTGTACCTTTTATTCAGCTGGATGCCCCTCCATTCCCTTCCATTACAAATGCTGATTCCATCAAAATCCTTTGACAAGCCCTCTATAATTCCTCTCTCGTTTCATTAGTGGCCAGCATTTGGTGTTCTTTGGACCTGTACCTTTTGCAAAGCAGTTATTTCAAAGGCAAAGCTGTCCTTCCTCTAACGGAACAGAAGGGCACTTTCTGGATCCCCCCCCCTACTCTAAAAGGGACTGGTGTTTTTCAGCAATGTTGGGGTCTCATTTTATTGGAAAGAGGGCCATTATTGTGATTTAGTTTTCTCCATATTCCCCGTGACCTCGCAGCTGTTAGCGGTATTGAATCAGGTGCTATTTAATTTGTACGTAAATGATTTGGAATTGGGGATGAGCAATATAGTTTTTCAGAAGGCACTAAATGATTCAGGATAATGAAGGGCAGACTGTGAAGAGTGACAGGAAGATCTTTCTAAATTGAACTTCATTCGCCACATCGTCTCCCATTCACCCAGTGTTGGTAAATGTGATTCATATCAGGCCCGTATGTGGCCCCTCCAGTTTTTACGGTCCCCTCCCCTGATCCTCAGCTCCCTCTCCCCAGCCCCCTCGCGCCCCCCCCCCATCGACCTCCTGCCTGTCAGTGTCGGCCCAGCCCCTATTCCCCTCCAAGCCGCTTGTGCTTTGCGTCTCCCCGATAATCTCTTCTGTTTTTCTTTCCTGGGTCAGTTTTCTCCACTCCCCCCCCCCCACACACCCCCACTTTTTCCTGTTACTGTTAGCTAGCGCAATTCCAAGGGCTCCGCGCCCAGCAAGGACTGGAATCTCCTCTTTCTGTAGAAAAGGGAGGCCGCTAAATCTGTGTGCCTTATACATTTAAAAGCAACTTAATTTCTCTCTGACTGCTGAGTCCTGTTTGGGGGCCGGGGCTGCCGGGTTTCCGCATCACATGGCCGTTTGGATACAGAGCTAGGTAAGCTGGGCTGATTCCCCACTCCTCCACTTGCACCTGCTGATGTGACCTTGGGTCAGTCACAAGCTCTGGCACAGCTGTCCTTGAAAAAGAGCAGTTTGTGTCAGAGTTCTCTCAGCCCCACCCACCTCACAGGGTGTCTGTTGTGGGGAGGGGAAGGGAAAGGAGTTTGTAAGCCGCTCTGAGACTCCAAGTGAAGGGCGGGGTATAAATCCAATCTCTTCTTCTCTTCTTCTATTTGTGATGTCAGTGCACATGTGTGGAGCTTTGGGGGGGCACTTTTCCCAAGGCCGCCCCCCCAACTAAACATTTCCTCGGCAGTGTTCCCTCTAAGCTGAGTTGGTGTGAGCTAGCTCACAGTTTTTTAGCCTCCAGCTCACAGATTTTTGCCTTCGCTCAGGAAGGAGGGCCTCAAAGCAAACTAATTTGTGCAGCAACCAAATGGCTCGCTCACAACTTTAATGCCAGGAGCTCACAAAGTAGAATTTGTGCTCACAAGACTTTACAGCTTAGAGGGAACATTGTTCCTCGGTAAGGGCCTGTTTATACTGGAACAGAAATTCTAACTTAAAATATAGGCTGCTGGGGTCTGAACTGGCAGAGACTGAGGTTGAAAAAAAAATCCTGGATTTCTAGTGGAGAGCTTGTAGTGGGAAATCTTGACCCAGTATGCAGCAGCTCAGTGAAGAAGGTGAACTCCATGCCAGGGATGATTAGGAAACAGGCTGAAAATAAAGTAGCTAATATTGTATGATGTATAGTGTGCCCTGACCCAGATAGTACGGGCGAGGCAGATCTCGAAAGTGAAGCAGGATCGGTACTGTTGAGTATTTGGATGGGAGACCAGCAAGGAAGTCCCAGGGACGCCACATAGAGACCTGATAATGCTCACTTCAATGTTTTTGAGTGGTTTTCTTTTTTCACAAGTAGTGCTGAACTTAGGAAATACGGTATAGAAATGGCTACGTGTAAATATCTACCAGGGTCTGTTACGTGTTTCGACTCCATGAAGTGTACTTCATAGAAGATTAGGGGGAAAGGGGCAGATCTTGTCCCCTGGCATCTTCTTCCAAGTCATTTCAGTGCCATGCGCAAAAGTGGGCTTGAAGCTCAACATTAAAAAATCTAAGATCATGGCATCCGGCCCCATCTCTCCTTGGGAAATAGAAGGAGAAGTCGTGGAAGTAGTGACAGACTTCACGTTCCTGGGATCCAAAATTAATGGCAAACCTAGACAGCATAATAAAAAGTAGAGACATCACCCTGCCAACAAAAGTCCGTGTGGTCAAAGCAATGGTATTCCCAATAGTACTGTATGGCTACAAGAATTGAACCATAAGAAAGGCCGAGCGCCGAAGAATAGATGCTCTCGAATTATGGTGCTGGAGAAGACTCTTGAGAGTCCCTTGGACTGCCAGGAGATCAAATCAGTCAATCCTAAAAGAAATCAACCCTGACTGTTCCCTGGAAAGCCAGATACTGAAGCTGAAGCTCAAATACTTTGGCCACCCAATGAGAAGGGAGCACTCACTGGAGAAGACCCTGATGCTGGGAAAGATTGAAGGTCAAAGAAGAAGGGGATGGCAAAGGATGAGATGGTTAGACAGTGTTATCGAGACAACAGACATGAAATTAAGCAAACTCCGGAGGATGACAGAAGACAGGAGGGCCTGGCGTGATGTGGTCCATGGGGTCGCGAAGAGTCGGACTAGACTGTGCAACTGAACAACAACAACAAAATGTACTGACTGTAAAAGGTATTTATTTCAGTGGTATGTTACAGGAGAATCACTTTAAAAAGTTTTCATTTGGGGGTATTTCAGAATAGCAGCATCTTAATTATGGTCTTTTTACATTTAGAACAAACCTGATTTCCAATTTGTCAAGTGTTTTCGCGTCTGTAAGACAGTGTATTTTGTCAGCCCTTTGAAAGATTGAGTAAGGCATTGTTCCTTTTTTTAAACATAAGCTTTCTTTACAAAAAATGAAAAGGCAGTCTCTAGATGTCTGATGGGCTACCAGGGGTGGCCGAACTTGCTTAACGTAAGAGCCACACAGAATAAACGTCAGATGTTTGAGAGCCGCAAGACATGAACAAACATGACACACAGGTTTTTATTGGAAAATATGCAAATCTGCTTCTTATAAACATTAAATTAGACTGTGTGAAAGAGCCGCATGGGGCTCCCGAGCTGCAGTTTGGCCACCCCTGGGCTAGACTCAAGAAACTGGAACCAACCTGTGGCATAGTAAGTTCTCCAAAAGCTCACCCAATGACATCTTCATAGTTCAGTGGTTTGGAGACTCGGTTGACAAGACAGTGGGTGCCGCCTCAAGGTAGAATTCGGACAACGGTTTCCCCCACTTCTGCAGTCACCAAGTACTGGGCTGTGGAACCATGTCCCCTCTGAACGAATCTAACGAGAGGTGTTACATTATTTATTTTTGTGCTCTTAAAATTTTATATCCTCTCTGTGCTCAAGACCCAAAGCAGCTTGTATCTCACGGTTCGCCCCTCCTTCACCTTATCCTCCCAAGGACCTCGTGAGGTCGACTAGGCCGAGGGACTGTGATGGGCCCATGGTCAGCCGTGGGCTTCCATTGGCACAGCGCAGTCCCATGCTCTTAACTGGGTATGCTACGCTGGCTCTCAAATGACCATGGATGCAATAGATGACCAACTTGTAGGTCATCTAAAAAATGGCCCCTGTGGAGTCTGGTCGCACGCTTGAGTGATTTCAGTCAAGCGGAGATTATTTCCGTTACCTATCATACTTTTATCCTGCCCTTTCTCCCAAGAAGTTCGGGTAGGTTGAAATGGTTCTTGCTTTCTCTGCTTTATCCTTACGACAGCCCTGGGATGTTAAGTTAGGGTGAGCGTGTTATCGCCCGAGATCACCCAGGGAATAGGGCTTTAAACCCAGGTCTCGAACCCTAGTCAATACTCTTTCCTACGTAGCACCAGCACTCGTAACAGATGTTTGTGGGAAATGTTGCATAGGAATTTTAAATTCAAATCAATTGTTTGGAAGCCTCCCCTTCAAAGGGTCTCCCTTCAGAATGGGAACCAAGGGCATTTGGTTTTAACAGTTCTGTGAGTCGGGCTCTGCTGGAGGGAAAACGTGGCTGCCTGCCACTCCCATATTCCATCCAATCATTACACTTGGTGATTGCAGAAGTCCATCCTCCCTGCTTGCCTGAATCGTCCCGATATTCCTTTCTCAATTGACATGATTAGACACGATGCTGCCACCTTAGTAATGACATCAGAGCCCATAGAGATGTTTTCCTTGTGTTGCCTTTCAGAGATTATGCTACCTTCTTCTTTTTTTAAAAAAAAATGGAGCAAGTATATCTGGCAGCTTGATCCTAGACAAGTTTCCCTAGGAGTAAATCCCATTGATAACTGCTTTGGATCGCAGTCATATAGGGTGTTTTTTTTAACATTAAGAGACAGATGTGGCTTGCTGGTTCCTGGGCTCCAGCCAGAATTATTTCCTTCTTAATACTCCATACTTCTATAACCTTCTCATCTATGCTATCTTCAGTGGGGGCCATCAATTGGCTGTACAGAATCTGAGTTAGAGCCACAAGGGAAAGGGAAACTCCCTGAGTGCTGTTGTTGGTGTAGATCTGGAAAGCTGAATGGCCCAGCTGGGTCCAAGGCCCCTGCCCTGCACTGGCCTCATGACGTGCGCTTGGCCAAGCCGTTCTTTCTCAGCCTTGCTTTCCCTCTCTACAACGTGGGGATAGTCAAGCTGGCCAAATAACCAGCCGTTCAAGCACTTCGCAAAGCAAAAACACCCCATAAAGGCCAGCAAGTGCATAGCTGAGCCAGCCCTACAACCCACAGATGCATTACTTTATTATTTGCAAAGATAACACTTTGAGGTCTTCCACTGGGGTCTTACCTGCATGAGCCCTATTTGTTTACTGTTGGCTCTGCAAGTGCTTCTCTGCAGCCGTCCTCCGTTTTCGTTATGACCTTGTGCAACCCAGTGGCAGATGGGATACACAAGTGTGGCTGAGGCTGGGCTTAACGGATAGATGGTCCTACTTTGGGTGGGTGGTTTGGAACCCAATGATCATCTCTCCCGCCCAATATTTTTATGAAGAAGCGTATGAAGGGAGGAGACGGAACATGAAGAACTTGGGTTCTGCTTGGTGTGCAGGTGGGACCCATGGCTAAAGTGGCTGACCTTGCTCCGGCCACAGTTGTGACAGCAGCATGGCAGTTAATGCTCGTGGAATGGTGATCTCTGTACTTCTTTTGTTACACTATCCTGGGGCGACACAGCTGAGCTGGCTCGGCCGCAGCACTAACAGCCATCGCTACTGGTGGTGCTGACAGTTCGAGCTAGCCCCGCATTTTTTTCCAAGTAAGCCCACCTGGCCAGCTTCGTTAGTTGGGCTGCTGCTTACAGACGGCTCCCTGTCCACTTCCGGAAGCAGTCCTTAACTAAACAGGAAGTGAAGCTGGCGTCCAGTAGCTGTGAAGCACTGTTTGAAGGAAGGCTGTGTTATACGACATTATGCAGGGTGCTGGTAATGCCAGACAGGCCCCCAGCCCCCTGTCTCACACAGCAGCCAGCCCGTCACTGCCTCCTGTTACCGATATCTGACTTCTCACCACCCCTAGCCTTAAGCTGCACTAATGACAACCAACCCTAAGGTAGGTATAGTAAATGCTGGAAGGAAGACCTCAGAGGGGAAGAGCTTATAAAAGTCGGAGGCAGTCTCTCAGCCAAATGGATTTCAGCCCTCTTTGTGGGAAACCTGTATGTGCATCGTATGCTTCTATGAGCAAAAAAAAGAGAGAGAGAGAGAGGGCAAACCAGGAGCCAGAATGTGCTGCTGTTAGGAATGTATAAGCTATTAGGTTTTGTGACTTTTTGAATCCTTTCCCCCTGTTTTTAAACAAATACTTTTCTAGCAAGCTTGTTTTCTACCATCACGTGGACTGTACCTTTCTGAGCCAGGGAACGGGAGGGCAAAAAGGCAACGAATGATGTTACCATCAACTGTCACAATAATAACAATCGCAGTGTTTCGGGCATACAAGATTTGGTGCATGAGACATTTTTGCTGAGAGGCAGATTGCAGAGCCCATATGCTTGTTCACTTGTAACCTCCTGCAGTTTTTAAAAGGGGAGTGGATGCCACTGTTTGTTAGTTTTCATGGCAGACCATGCAAAGCTGATGCCTCCATTGGCACTCACTTGTAGTAAAAGCGTAACATGGCCTTAGTCAGTCAACTCCTGCCCTTTTGCTGTAACGGAAACCATTCTGGGACACACAGCAGTGGCAGTAAAAAGTGTCATGGGCACATAGGTTGGGGACACCCCCCCGCACCAAATCAGTCCAGTGATGGAATGGGGGGAAGGAAGCAATTTGCAAATGAAATAAAGTACCTGCTTTGCCTAACACTGATATTACTGCTGTGTGACAGAAGAACTAAGGATGAATGAAGCAGCCCACAGGCTAAATAAAATCCTAATGGTAGAACGCTAGCACAAAATGCAACCACACTTTTAATTTTTCTGAAGCAAGAATTGTGTCAGGCGCTCTGCCCCGTTTAAGATTAAATGTGGCATTGTTTTTTGGCTGAGCGATAGGGATTGTAACAGCAGCCGCCCCGACACATCAATCTACTGGTGGTTTTTATCGAAGTATTAGAACCTACTTTGCCTTTTTAACCTTAAGCGACAGCGAGTTAAACACCTGGGAGCGAGCTAAATGTAATCAAACTGAGACAAAGGTTGTCCTAAAAGCTGCGCACAATCGAATGATCAACTCAGGCTGCAATCCTAAGAACACTTTCCTGGGAGTAAATCCCATTAAATAAAACAGGACTTACTTCTGAGTAGACCCGCTTAGGATTGCTCTCCGTCTTTTTAAGGAAGAAACAGTGTGGGAGGAATTTTGTAGACTACAATGTACTATTAAAGTATTACTCTACTTATTGTGCTTTTTTATTGTTCAGAGCACCATTAGCTGCCGTTATGTACTCTTTGTGGAACCCGTTCTTTATTTCGGTCACCAGAGAGACGTCTTTCGTATCCGTCCTTGAAGGTCTTTTCCGATACGTCTGGGGGGATAAAATACCAGTAAGAAACAAAATTAGGACTTGTTCCTAGGTCTCAAATAGACATAAGACATACAGAAGTCCACCAGGTATCTTTTAAGGAACAACTCTCTTGTGAATATTGCCTGCGGATCCTTCAGGTAATTCTCATTCCCACAGACTTTCTTAACCCCACTCCTCCCAACTGCCTAAAAACAGCTGCTGTCTTCGTTGACATTCGGCTGGAGCCCCAGAAAGGGACGAAGAAGCTTTTAGGGCGGCTTAGAGAACAGCCGTAGGAATGGGGTACGGCAGGGCTTGACAAACCCCAGGCTCCAAGTTGCCATGGCACCTAGAAACCTCATTGCGGTGCCTCGTATTTTCAGCAATTATTTTATTGTAGTATCTTTTGGTCATCCTCAAAAGTACAAAGTCTATCATTTCACTTCAAAATACTTTTTTCATTTATGATGCATATGTGCATGGAGTACTTTGTCATTGCCTCCTTGTTTGTTAACTTTACACCATTCAGTGGAGGCAGATGAAGTTGTTTCCTGGCCAGTTGCTTTCTATTCGGACTCCTAGATTTGAGTCCAGTAGCAGCTCAGAATCTAACAAGGTTTTGTGGGTACTGAGAGTCAAAGCTCCTTGTACCAGATACCTGACGATGGTCCTTTCGGCACTAGACCTTAAATCCTGGTTCAGCCCTGTCCCGGAACTTACATTCTACACTACACTCGAGTTCACCCCTGTAATTATCTCGGGGTATTTTTTTGTTTCCACATTACATCGAGGTCACCCCAGTTTCGCCCCACACTTGTCCCGGGATAAACGGATGCTGTTATAACCAGGGATAAATGCAGGGTATTGTGTCACGAGTGGAACTCTGATAAAACCAGGGATGAGATCCAGGTGCGGAAAGGACGAAACGGTGCTTTGACTCTTGCAAGCTCCTGCCCTGAAAATCTTGCTGTTCCCGAAGGTGCTCCTGGACTCCAATCGAGCTTCTGTACTGCAGACCAACAAGGCTGCCCTATGAAACTCTGCTGACTCCAATATTCAGTTAAGGCTGCGGTCGCACAGACCATTAGCCACGCTACAGAGACGGAAGATAGGTGGATTTTCTGGGTGCGATCACACCACAACATCTGGGAAGCGTAGAGCTCCTGTGGCGAACTCGAGGCTTCCTGCCGAAGATGCGGGGTAAAAAACTAGTACCTCCGAGGTACTAGTTTCCGGAAACCGCGGGGCAAGGGCGGGCGCCTGATCGCGTTTCCGGTGGTGGCATCCGGCGCCCACCCATGTCCCTTCGCAAACAGGTTCCCCCCCCCCAAGTCTCCACAAGATGTGCACAAGTACCCAACGGCGCATGCACACTAAGAGGAAAACGAAAGTGCTGTTTCGGCTTAAAAAAAATAAATGACCCCGTTTGTCATGGCAGCGGTGCCTAGCCATTGCTGGTGTGATCACGCGTGTGATCGCCACCCTCGTTTACCCGCCAAGGGAAGGACCCGTGGTGTGCTGCCAGTGCGTCTGATCACAGATCAAACTGCGCCGGGGCAATTAGCCACGCCTCCCCCCGTGATATCCGGCCCGTGTGACCAAGGCCTAAATGGAGCTTTTTAAAGCAGCAATGAAGTTAGGTTAGGATTAGAAGTTTGCTTTTTGTTGTGATAACAGCCAAGTTTACCCTGTATCTATTTATATACTCTCAACATATTTGTCAATACTTTAATGAAACTGCAAGAAACTGTAACGATGACTATTAACCTCTGAAGATGGCTCTGGCTCCTAAATTTTTAGGAAATACAACAAGCAAACACTGTGATATGAATGACTAGGCTATTTAGTAAGGATCATATTATATTATAAATAAAACTATAAAATTACAAGGAAAAGTCCATCATACTCAATGAGCACCCGGATATAAGCTCATTTCATTCCAATGCCAGCCAAATTTAAAATTGAAGGCTTCCAGCTGGGTAGAAAAGAGGACTGGTTTGCTACTACTATAAATATTTTTACAGTGTTCATGGAGAGCATTTAAGACAGCATAATATAGAAGGCTTTTGCACTTAGTTAAAGAAGACAAGACTGGCTTGCTCCTAGTACAAACACTTGAAATGGAACCAGAAGATAATTTGCAGAAAATAAAGAAGTTGAGCATTGGTTTGCTCCTAACAGACATTGAGCTATATCAAGAGGCTGACACCTTTCAATACAATAGGATTACTCCTGAGGAAGATTGGGATAAAATGAGTTTATATCTGGGTGCTCATTGAGTATGATGGATTTTTCCTTGTAATTTTGTAAGGTTTTATTTATAATATAATATGATCCTTACTAAATATCCCAGTCATTCATATCACAGTGTTTGCTTCTTTGTTGTATTTCCTATATGGATACCTGTGATCCCTTCTTGGTTTATTCTGCTCCTAAATTTTTTGGCCTGGTCCCTGGAGCCAAAGAAAATTTGTCAAGGCCTGAGATAAGGATTAAGTCAGGTAATGATCCTCTCATGAAGTGAATGGTGCTAGGAAATATGGCTACATTTACTTGTCTGTAAGGTATAAACTGACCCTATCTGGTCTTCCTTCCAGTCCTCTGATGCTGGGGTGGGGCGGGGGAGAGAATAGTGAAAGGGGTTCCATGCAATTTAAGAGCATGTCCTTTGCCTATCTGTGATGTTGCAGAGGGGCTCTTTTTGTAGCAGGAACTCCTTTGCATATTAGGCCACACACCCCTAATGTAGCCAATCCTCCAAGAGTTTACAGAGCTCTTCTTACAGGAGCTACTGTAAGCTCTTGGAGGATTGGCTACATTAGGGTTGTGTCACTTAATATGCAAATGAGTACCTGCTACAAAAAGAGCCCTGCTGGGGTACACACTCAACTCCTGTGTCATGCTGGCTGCACTAGAGGCAGTGCCCTTTGTTGCTTTTAAGATGGCAGCATTAGTGGATTATGCCTATTATCTGTAGCGACAGAGGTAGCCAAAGCAATCGGTAACCATCTCCTTACTGCAGGAAGAGAGCGGCTGACCCTTGCACTAAATCTACAGCAACTAGGGTGTCCTCCCCCCCCGCTCTATTGTTTAAACAAATGCATAGTAGCATCTTTTCTCATGGAACTGCTGATAAGCAAGATTTTGCAGGAAAGTCATTTCTCAGCTAATTGTGTAAAAGGGGGGGGGAAGGCTCTTTTCATCTGACCCCTTTCCTAGGAGTTTGTGCACCTGCTTAGCTGAAATATGTCCTCATAAATGCATAGCCTCTTCACTCTTTCGCAAGCCTGCTCCACCACCAGTAGTAGGACATCCTATCATCCTTGGATGCAGTAGTCCAAGTATGATATTTTCTTCACATTTTTTTTTAAAAAAGGTTGTTGTTCAGCTAGGTACTCCCAACATGGGCACGCTGAGGTTCATGAAATGGCATTCCCCCAGCTGCAAGAACACCGTCAAGTTGTGATTAACAGGAAAATGCAGTATTGCCAAAACCAGTAAGATAAAACCAAGATTAAATATATGGAATAAGTTATGAAATGTGCACTTCATGTGCAGGAAATTGCTCAGGAAAAAGTCTCAAGCTGTTGCTTAGAGCCCACTCCTGGTGACAAAGGTGGGCACAAAGCAGATAACTAGATCCTTGTCGATGAGATGAAAAGCTTCAGTTTTCCATGTACTGGAGTGGCAGCGCACCCAGCATGGGGTCAATAGGATTGTATTGTAATTCTCTGCCTGCTTTTCCTCCGTGAAGCACTTCTGTATCATGCTGGTCTGTGCCCCTCCAGTGGGCTAACAGATGGCCATTATGCAGTGTTCCAAAATCTACAGGGAACCATAGGAGCTCAGCTAGCCCTCTCCCGTTTGGATAAAAGGGAAGTTAGACCTATGGTGAGGTTAGTGAGGATAAATGTGGGTGTGTTTACCACATCACGGAGTGGATGAATCTTGACTCTCCTTTCAATAGTTGACAATCGAACTATGGACTGACGGATGGCCAAAAGGGCACTGTGCCAGGTTCTGGGGCCACCTTTCACCCGATTCCTGTCTGTTTCCGAAGCTTCCGAAATCAAGTATTGCCGCTCTTATAAATTAAGGCAAAGTGGGCAGCTTGGCATCAAAATATAAAACGTTACTCTCTTCCACCTGTGAACCGGACTTTGAAATGATAAAGGAACGCTCCTGTGAAGGACCTGCATTGTCAGGAAAGCACCGTGTGCTTCAAAAAAGCACATCAGTTCATCTTACTGAATCGTTAACAGCCTGACTTGCAAGTTAATTACGCAGAAGAAACTGTGTTGAGCTGCTGGAGCGTGTTCCGGACTGGCTTTAACCCCTGTGCAGAGAGCCATTCAGCTAGTGAGGCCTCTCCACACACACCCCCCAAATCACTCTTATTCTTGCTGTGTGTATTTAATATGCAGTGTTCCCTCTAAGCTGAGTTAGTGTGAGCTAGCTCATAGTTTTTTACCCTCCAGCTCACAACTTTTTGTCTTAGCTCAGGAAGGATGGCTCCAGAGCAAACTAATTTATGCAATAGCCAAATCGCTCACAACTTTAATGCCAGTAGCTCACAAAGTAGAATTTTTGCTCACAAGACTCCACAGCTTAGAGGGAACATTGGTGATAAGACCCCCTAATACCAGATTATGTAAACACAAAACGCACATTGGATTGTATAGATTTGCCTTGCTCTATCAAGAGAAATGAGAGGAAAGCAGCATCCGTGCATGCATACAATGCGCCACGCAGCTGTGCCCTGCTCAATGTCTCGCTTGATGCAGATGAGAATTCAGTGTTCCTATCTGAGGCCAACAGTTTTAAGATAGCTCTAGATTCTAGCACTAAGACTCTAATTTAACCTCCATTTCTCATGCATTTCTCCATTTCAGCTGTTTTTATTGTATTTGGTTTGCTAGATTCTGTTTTATTCTTATGTTACATTTCTCCTGCTCCCCCCAATTATTAAAACCCTGTGAAATTTGATTTTGCTGTCAACGTTTGCTTATTGCGGGAGTCAAAGGCAAGTGAGGAGCTTGCAAAAAAGAAGAAGAAAGACTCCGAACACTGCAGAATTGGACACCCCCCTGGACACATTATCACACTGCAGTGAATGCTGCAGGATTGCTGAGGACGTGTCTCCTGCTCGCTCTCACGGTGAGATCTGGCATGAGTGATGATTTTAAAATTTAATGGGATTCCCTCATCATGTTCAGCAAAAGTCAAGTGAGAGTCTGACAAAACCGGCGGTGAGGACGTGCGGCCCCTGTCCCGGGCGTTCGTTAATCCAGGCTGGTCAGTCTTCACTAAAAGAGAACTTGGTTAGCTAATCTCATAAGGTCCCCTGCAAACATCTAACCCCCTTATCCCTAATAGATTCAGGTGGGGCAGCTGTGTCAGTCTGAAGCAACAGAACAAAGTTTGAGTCCAGTGGCAACTTTAAGATTAACAAACTTTAATTCTGGGTCTAAGCTTTTGTGTGCATGAAGAGGAAGCGTGCATGCACATGAAAGCTTATACCCAGAATTAAACTGCACCCCTAATAGTTATACATAAGCACACAACACATGTATTGTTCACCTTCCCCAGCTTACCTTAACATAAAAGTTAACAAACAGAATGACCAGTGTGGTCATGTATGAGGACTGGAAGATCAGGCAACCAAACGGAAATCCACAGGGCTTCACGACGGCACTGAGGGTGTGTGTAATGGTGAGCAGGAACTGTATCTGTAGGGGGAGAAAGACTTCTCATTTGTACAGTTGGGTCTCGGCAAGGGCCACAGTTCCACAAACACATCTGCAAATTCTGCACTGCGGCTATATGCCCACAGAAATAATTTTAAATGAGCCTTAATTCTGCATAGCATAAGACTGCATGCACATCTTTTTGCTCAATAATAACTTTCTTTGCAAGGTCAAACTTGAGTAGTTTCTTACATTTTGTCAGAGAATGTACAATGGCAGGGAGACAGAGCCCCTGTATTCACACTGTGTGTATGAGTAAAAGGTAAAGGTTCCCTTGCTCGAAAGCCAGTCGAATCCGACTCTAGGGTTGTGGTGCTCATCTCCGTTTCAAAGCCGAAGAGCCAGCGCTGTCCGAAGACGTTTCCGTGGTCGTGTGGCCGGCATGACTAAACACCGAGGCGCACGGAATGCTGTTACCTTCCCACTGAAGTGGTACCTATTTATCTACTTGCAATTTCTTGCTTTTGAACTGCTAGGTTGGCAGGAGCTGGAACCAGAGACGGGAGCTCACTCCATCACGCGGCACACTCGGGTCTTGAACTGCTGAACTACTGACCTTCCACAGCCTGCAGTTCAGCGTCTTAACCACTTGAGCCACCGCAGCTCCTGTGTGTATGAGTGCCTGACCACATATTACACCCTTCCCAGGTCCACATGAGTCCTGCTAAACCAGATATGTGCTGTAAGCGCCACAGCTGGAGCTCCCAAATGCTTTGGAAATCAACCCATCACATACACCTGAGAGTTAAGTTTCCAAAACAGATGGGAGCCCCAGAGCATGCGACTCCCAGTGCAGGTCTGGTTCGACAGGAACCAGGATGGACCTCGAAACAAGCGACTTGCCCTTTTCACATCACTGTCCTAAACGAGATGTTATTCGTTGTTGGCCCCATTTCGAGCAAAGCGATACAGGGATGGGGGTTTAATACAGCAAGTTTTCTTCCATTAATGAGGCGTCTCTGAAGCGTTACTGTCATTTCAAACAGTGCCGCTTTTTTTAGGCACACGATCTTCCTCGGAGGGTTGTGGGGGGTTTTGCATTCTAACTTGAGCACTATAGCACTAGACCAATATAGCACTTCAGTGCTATGATGGTTTAGCGCTCTAGCGCTCACCTTAGAATGTTTTTTAAAAGTCTGAGGAAGATTGTATGGTAAAAAAGGGTGGGGGGGAGCAGCCTTGTAGGAAGCACTACGGACATTTTAAACAGCACACCACAGTGATTCAGGAGTGCAACCAGGGGGTAGAAAACAGAAGAAAGCCGTTCCCCTCAAAAGCGGCTCAACCATACTTTGCTAACCTGACACAAACAGGTTTGTATGAACAGGTAAATAAATTCTGCTAGCAGCCGGTTACTAAAATGGGTCTGTCTGAAATGACAGGGAAAACCCTATTAGCAACCAGTTGCTAAAACAGAATACAAAGGCAGGATGAAAAGGGCCAGTGAGTTGTTAGGCTCTTACTGTGGTGTAACAGGTGAAGTATTGGAATTGGCCGTGGAGAACTGAAATCTCTACTTGGATAACGTGACATTGCCAACTTTACAGGGCTGTTGTGAGGAGAAAGTGGGACACCACCCTATTTCATTGATTAGGCTAACAGCTCAGGTACATTTAAAATAGCAAATTCTGCACTGCAAATAACTTTAAATATGAATGTATTTACTTCACTTATACCCTGTCTTTTCCCCCAATGGGTATCCAAAGTGGGTTACATTCTCCTCTATTTTAGGCTCACAACAACTGTGTGAGGTAGGTTAAGCTGAGGGTCTAACTGGGGTTATCCAGCAAATTTTTTATGGCAGAGGCGACTTTGAACCTGGGTCTCCCAGTGATACTGCTTGATTGTAAAAAGGACTGCATGACAAGCTGGGGGGGGGGGAGAGAAATAAAATGAGGCCCCTTCAAGATGAACATAGCTTTTCTTAATAGTGACAGTCACACTTTATTTATTTGATTTGATTCTTTACTCGCTCTCCCTTTCTGCTGCAGGTCTCAGGGTGAGTGACAACAGATTTATAATACAATCATAAACCAGTTAAAACATTTAAAAAAATAAATCATGTCAAATAGCAGAATTAAAACAATTTAAGACACAAACTACAACAGGGAGATGGCACGTAAAGAAGAGTTTGGATTTTCACTCAGAGCGGCTTACAGTCTCCTTTCCCTTCCCCTCCCCACAACAGACACCCTGTGAAGTAGGTGGGAATGAGAGAATTGCTCTTGAGAGAACAGCTCTGAGAGAATTTTGACTGACCTAAGGTCAACCAGCTGGCTGCATGTGGAGGACTGGGGAATCAAGCTGGGTTCCCCAGATTAGAGTTCACCACTCTTAACCACTACACCACGGTGGTCTCTTGGAGTACGTCTTTAAAAGCATGATGTATTAAGTTAGCATTTGATGCAATAGATTAAATAATCTGTTGTATGAGACTGGAACCCCTCCCCCCCCCCCCCCTTTTTATCCTTGTTTCAAGATAGTTTGTAAGGCAGTTTGGCTTACTGCTGAGGAATTTTGTTTTTCAAACTGTAAACCAACAAGAGTGAATGAGAATATAAAGTGTACCAGTTGTGCCTGCGTGAGGTATTTCTTCCACCACAAATACTTGCGCATGGATGGAATCACAGACAGACCATAGTAGGAGTACATGAGGACGTGAATAAAACTGTTCAAGGTGGGTCCAAAGAAACCTGTAAGAAGTGCATTGAACCTGTCAACACTGCACATTTTCTATTAGAGACACAGAGGTTCTAACAACCGACAACCACTCACGGACAATCTGGGGAATTTACAGAATTTTGTGGAGCCTCTTTTTGGGGTCAAGGCTCTTTCAGACAGTGAACTGTTCTATAAATACTGTATGGGTCTGGAGAAATACAAGCAGGAACAGTTCTATGGGTTTATGCCCAGGGAAATGCTGATCGCGCTAAATGCTTACATGCCCAGGGAAAGGCCGATGGCCACTTTGGGGTCAGGAAGCAATTGTTCTCCAGGCCACTTTGGCCATGGATCCTGGAGGGGTTGGGGGTTTTTTTGCCCCCTTCTTGGGCCTAAAGCAGGGGTCACTGGGGGTTTGTGTGGGGGAGGTATTTGTGAATTTCCTGCTTTGTGCAGGGGGTTGGACTAGGTGACCCCGGAGGTCCCGTCCAACTATGTGATTCCGTGCTGTTTCCCCCTCCCTGCAGCCTCAGCAAAAGAGCAGACAGTTGGAAGGGTAGCTCCGCTTGGTAGTGTGGCAGAATGGTTCAGCACTACCTCTGAGAGAGAACAGAGTACCGGTTGTTAGGCCTGTCTCTGGTGACGAGAAAACCTTGAACCATTTCGTCTGATTCTTGGGGAAGGTGTGGTGTGGGTGGGATCCTGTCTGTGTGAGAGGATCCATCCGACCTAGTGGCTAGTCAGTGAAAAGCCTCTTTGTTCCTGAAAGCATCAGGGAAAATTCAGACTACTCTCAGAAGCCATAACCAAGTTTAAATTAATGTCCCTCAGCCAGATGTCTCCTTTGTCTGCCTGAGACCTGTGCTGCTTATCTGTTCTTTGAGACCAACTTGTAAATAAATAAATCTTATATATGTATTGTTAATATACAAATTCCTGCCTCAATGATCTCTGTATTCTGTTTGCGCTGTGCTGAACAAAACTTACCTCACGGCAGCAAACCCAAAGCTACCTTTAGAAGACCTGGTGACTGAGGGAGAGGTTTATGGTTTAAAACAAACCTAGTTCCCTCAAAATCATGGGAGGCTATGGGGATCCCCTCAGGTGTTAGAAACATGGGGCTTTGATGGAGCTCTTCATCTCCACTTTGTTAGCCCAGCAGGTGAGATTATAGACTAGTGGAATATGCTCAGTAGATCGCTTCCTCCAGGGCTTTTTTTGTAGAAAAAGCCCAGCAGGAACTCATTAGCACAATAGGTCATACCCAACAGCAGGGACTCATTAGCATATTAGGCCACACCCTTGACAGCACAGCTCATTAGCATATTAGGCCACACCCCATGTCACCAGAAGTGTGGTCATCCAGCCACACCCACCTTTTGCTTCTTATTCTGTTTACCTTGTTTGTGGTTAAAACCCAGGGCTTTTTTTGGAGCAGGAACTCCTTTCCATGTTAGTCCACACACCCCTAATGTAGCCAATCCTGATGAGTTTCTGCTGTTGGGTGTGGCCTATTATGCTAATGAGTTCCTGCCAGGTGTGGCCAACTTGGGAGCCAAAAATAGCCCTGGCTTCCTTCTCCTTAGAAAACTGCAGCAGGTACGGCAGAAGGGGGAAAGATTTACCACAATTAGTAGCCAAAATCTTTTTCCTTTACTGCAGCTTGATCTATTGGGAAAAGCAGATCCTCTCATGAGTCACTGCCCCTCCGAGCATTAAATCCCACCCTCTGTCTGGGGCTCCAACACTGTGTATTCAGACACTGAAAGGAGAGAGAGCGGGGCCTTCCGTGCAATGCCAACCGGCACAGATGAGGCTGTAAGTAGAATTCCAACCAAAACTTCTTCAGGTCTAACTACTCTGTGCATTTTTTACCCATCACAAACCCTGCTGAAAAGAGGAATATATGAGATGGTCACTGTAATATACGAAATCAGACAACACAGCAAAATGGCAATTTTATAGCAGCTGCTGTTTATTTTAGAGTGTGCCTCACCACCCACTCACCATTTCCTCCGTGTACCTAAGATTCCTAAATATACCAAAGATTAACCTCACAGCCAAATCTGGGATGAATGAAAATACCCAGCATATGTTTTTTTTAATGCAGTTACAGCCAAATCTGGGACGAATGAAAATACCCAGCATATGTTTTTTTTAATGCAGTACAGCTCTATATTGTGTGTGTGTGTGTCTGTACACACACACACACACACATACATATATGTAATCTCACAAATGTGTATATCTTGATCACATATTTAGACTTCAAAAAAAGGATAAACTGGCCCTGAGCTGGATAGCCCAGACAAGCCCGATCTCGTCAGATCTCGGAAGCTAAGCAAGGGCGACCCAAGCAAGTATTTGGATGGGAGACCTCCAGAGAATACCAGGGCCAGGAGGCCAGAGGCAGGCGATCAAGCCACTTCTCTAAATGTCCTCCGTGCCCCAGTAGGAGTTGCCAGAGGCCACCATGACTTCCAGGCATGGGCGCACAAACACACAAACACAAAGATGCAAAAATACAAAAAAAAAAAGAGGATAAAATACTCACTTTGTCCACATGGTATCCAGTTCATGACACACCACCAGATGTTAAACATAGTGGCGTGATGATAAACATGAAGGAAAGTAATTTGATTGTTTTTCTTCCGTAGCACAAAGAAAATAGTGTCAGCAAATTCAATTACTTTGGAAAAGTAATACCACCACAACACCTTGGCCACCTGCAAGAACAAGACAGAGAAATTAATATCTGTTTCTTGAAGGAACAGCATCTGCTGTGCTTCAAGAATATTTCAACCAGGTGAAACTTTCATTTACAAATATTACTATTGCTCAAATTAAACAAGGGTTTCCGCAAGGGTGAAACAATTTCTGCCTGCAGACCATGACTTTCTTACTGCAGCTCACAATGTCCACTGAAATGCTGCTCCTAGGGTAGAAGAAGAAGAAGAGAAGAGATTGGATTTATACCCCGCCCTTCACTCGGAGTCTCAGAGTGGCTTACAAACTCCTTTCCCTTCCCCTCCCCACAACAGACACCCTGTGAGGTGGGTGGGGCTGAGAGAACTCTGACACAAATTGCTCTTTTTCAAGGACAGCTGTGCCAGAGCTTGTGACTGACCCAAGGTCACATCAGCAGGTGCAAGTGGAGGAGTGGGGAATCAAACCCGGTTCTCCCAGATTAGAGTCCGCACACTTAACCACTGCACCAAACTGGCTCTAGGGTACAGGAGACTCCCCAAAACAGAACTACAGGGGTATTTGGGGTTGCAACACAAGTGGAGGTAAGAAACACAGAAACACTCTATTGGATTCAAGACAAGATTTTCCCCCAAGTTCTGTGCAGCCTGATCTGTGCGTATATATGCGTAAGTAATGCCACTGTGTTCCTGGGTCTTACTCCCAAGGAAGTAAGTATAAGATTTCATCCTTAGCTTGTAGTGGCTCCCTGATAATGGTGAACAAATGTCTCTGCAACACCTCTGAATGACCAAACCAGTTATGAAGGTAGAAAGCAAACGGGGGAGCTGGGGGTATCCAGTGTTTTGCACAGAGTGCCACATGTGTATGATTATCAGTCCACTGGGCAGAAACTATGAGAGTGTGCTCAAGGCAGGGAGCTCTTGTCTCTCAGGGGACAGGTGCGTTCCCCTGAGCCTAGGGTTGCTGACCTGGAAAAGCAGGGGGTGGGGCGGGGAGAGAGGTCTATGCATGAGACCTTCAGGGACCTACTAGAACTGGCCCATTCCTGTGCTGACAGCTCTTCTGCCGTTGTGGAGACTGAGGGTCTTGACGCTGGAGGGTGTCAGGCTGAGGAGGGGGGACGACATGATTCCTCAGATGAGAAAAGCCTTCCTCAGATGATGGACCAATATCTTCTTGTACTGAGGATACCCCTCTAGGGTTGCAGAGAGGTGGGCTTTTACTTGTGGACGATTTGGCTAATAGGAATGTAGAGGATGGGGTCTATGACAGGTGTTTTGACCGCATGGTGACTTGCCTGCTGGGTGCAAAGGCTGAGGGGCAGCCCAGACTGCCTAGCTAGTCTGCTAGATAGTGCTGGGGAGGAGTCAGTGGTCGTGGTGTACATTGGCACCAATGTAACGACATCGGGAAATGTAGTCATATTTATTTATTTAGATTTATACTCCGCCCTCCCCGCAGAGTGGGCTGAGTTACTATCAGTTACTAGGTAGAAAGTTAAAGGCCAGGACCTCACAGGTAGTGTTCTCAGAGCTGCTACTGGTTCCATGGGCAGGACCAGATAGACAGGCACAGACCAGGAGTCTCAGTATGTGGATGAGAAGGTAGTACCAGGAGGAAAGGTTTTGGTTTGCTCGGCACTGGGAACTTTCTGGGACAAGATGGACCGGTACAAAAGAGACGGGCTTAACTTTTAACCAAAACGGAACCATGCTCCGGATTAGGGCTGCCAGGTCCTCCCTTATCCCCAGCGGGGGTATCTCTGGGCCTTCCCGGGATCTTCCTGGAAGTGACATCAACACACCGCCAACGTTGCACAAGGATGCTCTAGTTCTGGGGCAAAACTCTATGGTTGAGTCCATATATACCATAGAGTTTTGGCCAAAAACTAGAGTGCCGTGATATCTGGGTGACGTCATTGTGCTGCATTTCGGGGCATTTGTGGGCAGGGAGGAGCCCACAAAAGCAGGGGAACCCCCATCCGGACCGGGAGGCTGGCAACCCTACTGTGGGAGCTTAACATGAAAAAGCTGGCAGAGTAACTTTTAAACTAATCCTGGGAGGGAAGCCAGCAGGACCTGGGGAGCCTCCAGTTTGGGACAACTCAGTCCAAAGGGACAATAGTGTAAATGTTCAGGATAATATTGGAAAAAGCACAACAGAATTTGGGAGTGAGAGTAGGATGACAAAGGAGGGCTCTGTGCAGCTTAGGGTGGCGAGGGTTGTCGAAGACAGAAACGCGTTACGAGTTGTCTATAAGCCAATGCTAGAAGTCTCTGAGCCAAGATGGGGGAACTGGAGTGATTGGTTGCTAAAAGACAATTTAGATACATTGAGTGTCTCGGAAACATCGTGGAAATCAAAATCAATGGGATATAAATACCTGCATTTAAGCTCTATAGGTGAGACAGGGAGGGATGTGTTGGGGAGGTGTTGCATTGTGGCATCGAATCAAAAAGCTAGAAAACATTACGAGAATGAACTCCCCAACAGAAGCAATACGGGTGGACATACTGGGTCCTAAGGCTACTTAAAACTGAGGCTGTACTATCATCTGTCAGAGCTCTCTTGTCTCCCAAGAAGGCTTTAGGCGAAGGTAAGGAGCAAAACATGCAGTACTGGGGAGTGAATTCTCGCTACCAAGGGTAATGAGCCACAACCAGTCCCTCTAAGCTAACTCTCAGCTGAGAGACTGGGGCACCAAGTCTCCAGCCCTACCTGGTGTTAATCAAGAAGTCAGCCCTTGCAAGAAGGTAGGACACTTGCAAGTTGAGTTCCACAAACAAGTTCTGGATAGCTATAGCCAAACTAGGCCAAGGTACTGGGTTTAGACTGAAGCCCCAAAACCTAAATAACACCACAGGAATATAATAAGGTTTATTAAAAGAAATGGGCAAAAGTATGCAAATATAGAAGCAGACCAAAGCAGATACAAAAATAATAAAACTAAATAACTATCCTAGATTAGAGTCCATATAGCGCTCCAAAGTCCAAAACCCAAGGAGCAGGTATTCTGGCCTCACAAGGCCCAGCCTACAGTTAAAAAGATGGCCAGAAGGAAGGTAGGCTCGAAATGAGGTTCAAACTAGAATGAATATTCTTACTTTATGCCTAACTGCCTGTTGCTGACTTGATCCTGTTCAGTCACCCAGGTGTGTTGCTAAGACACCTGACCGCATACCTCTGCACCTGGGAGGTACTCACAATCAAGCAACCCACCCACTTCCAGGTTTCCTTGTGCTAATGAGATGGAATGTGAATGCAAAACTCCCTCTGAGTCTCTGGCCTTGAAGCTCCCAGGCTTATTATCTTCCTTGTACCTGTGCCTGGCTCCATCTCATCCCTTATTTCTCTTGAAACTGCAAGTCATCACAGCATTAATTTCCCAGAGAGAAGCCTCTCTTGACTAGGCCCAAACCAAAATTTGAAAGGCCAAAAATCAGCTAAACAAGGCCAGTTACTTGGCATCACCCACCTTTTCAAACAACTGAGGTTGATCTCAAAATGAAGAAGAAGATAAAGGAGGTGACTAAAGCAGATACTTTGATAATGGGTGACTTCAACTACCCTCACATTGACTGGGTAAATATCTGCTTGAGATTCCTAAACTTCATAAAAGACTGTGCACTGAGACAGCCAGTCACAGAGCCAACCAGAGGGGTTGTGATCATGGACTTGGTTCTGAGCAGGGCTCAAGACCTGGTGCGAGATGTAGATGATGTTGCACCAGTTTGGAGCAGTGACCACAATGCTATTAAGTTCAGCATTCATGTCAATGGAAAGTTGCCCCTAAAGTCCAAGACTGTCACATTTGATTTCAAAAGAGGGAACTTTACAAAGATGAGGGGTCTAGTTGGAAGGAAGTTGAAAGTCAAGAGAGTTAAAGCCGTAGGGGATGTTTGGAAGCTATGTAAACTACATTAATTGAAGCCCAGATAGAATGCATCCCCCAAGGAAAGATTCTGCCAGATCTAAAAGGATACCTGTATGGTTATCAACTAAGGCAAGGAAGCCATCAAAGGCAAAAAGGACTCTACTGAAAAGTGGAAGGTCTGCCCCGATGAAGTGAACAGAAAGGAGCACAGGGGATGTGGTGACACACGACAGTTGAAGAGGAGGGGAAGTGAGGCTATTTCCTCCAGAGGAATTTGACACTCAGTTGCGAGATCACACATCCCTTTAACATAAGAACATAAGAGATGCCAAAGTTGGATCAGGCCAAAGGCCCATCCAGTCCAACACTCTGTGTCACACAGTGGCCAGAAATACCAGGTGCCATCAGGAGGTCCACCAGTGGGGCCAGGACATTAGAAGCCCTCCCACTGTTGTCCCCCCCCCAAGCACCAAGATGACAGAGCATCACTTGCCCCAGAGCCCCTATCTATACCTTGTGGCTAATAGCCACTGATGGACCTCTGCTCCATATGCTTATCTAATTCCCCTTTGAAGCCGTCCATGCTTGTAGCCGCCACCACCTCCTGTGGCAGTGAATTCCATGTGTATTCCACTTCCTTTGTAGCTGCAGGCTCAGCCTGTCCCTGTGCGATCAGACGCAACTGCAGGTGAGTCATTTTTTTTTTGCCATTTGTTTCCCATGTGCATAAACAAGGAATCACACCTCCACACTGAGGGCCCCCTATGGAGTATGTGATGATGTGCATACTGCGAAGAGGGGGGGGAAGCGATACCAAGCCGGGATGGCAGGATCGGACCATCCCAACAGCATGAGAGTGTGCTTGTGTGAGAGAGGGGAAAGTCCATCTGTGGCCTGTCAGAACCCGTTAGAGCCTGACTTTCCCCGGTGTCCAGGGCTATTTTTGGGCAGGAACACACAGGAACGGAGTTCCGGCTGGCTTCAGAGTTGGCCACGCCCACTACACCCAAGCCAAGGGAAGGCAGTTTAAACTGCCTCCCCACCAGATAGAATGCATTCCCCAAGGAAAGATTCTGCCAAATCTAAAAGGATACCTGTATGGTTAACAACTAAGGCAAGGAAGCCATCAAAGGCAAAAAGGACTCTACTGAAAAGTGGAAGGTCTGCCCCAATGAAGTGAACAGAAAGGAGCACAGGGGATGTGGTGACACACGACAGTTGAAGAGGAGGGGAAGTGAGGCTATTTCCTCCAGAGGAATTTGACACTCAGTTGCGAGATCACACATCCCTTTAACATAAGAACATAAGAGATGCCAAAGTTGGATCAGGCCAAAGGCCCATCCAGTCCAACACTCTGTGTCACACAGTGGCCAGAAATACCAGAAGTATTAGGCACAAAGTCTGCTGAGGGAAAATCAACACCGTTTCTGCAAAGGCAAGTCCTGCCTTACCAAACTTTTGGTGTTCTTCGAGAAAATGACCACATGTTACCACATAGGGAACACTTTCCCTATGAGGAAAGGTTAAAGCGCTTAGGGCTCTTTAGCTTGGAGAAACGACGACTGAGGGG